CCTCCAGAGTAGCTGGGGATTACATGCACCCTGCCACCGAAACGCGCCCGCTAGTTTTGTATTTTAGTACAGGACGGGGGGTTTCGCCATGTTGGCCAGGCTTGGTTCCCGAGACTCCTGACCTTCAGTTGATCACCCACCATGCCTCCCCAAAGTAATGATTGCGGCATGAGCCACCGGCACCCAGCTCTCAGTAATATATCTAAAAGTAGGTTTTACTAATAGAGATGGTGTGTGCGATGTTCATGATGAGCAAGTGGTGGATAAAAAAGGGGGAAAAAAAAAAAAACGAAAAGAAAAACCCCCCCCCATGTTTCTGAAGTTCTAAACCATCCATATAGTCCTGTCATAGCTGTAGATCTAAGTCTAGATAACCAAGCTTCTCCGATGTACAGGCCACTTGCCTAACCTGTAGATTCAGAAAGTACCATACGTGAGAGGTCTGTATGAAACAGGACAGCAAGTCTTCTGCCTAACAACTGCTCGCAGTGACCACAGCGGCACAGACTAAGGTATAGTGCACACAGGAACAACTGATGATGGTGAGTGAAGCCTTTACGTTTTAAAAACAATGTATCACAAGGCCGCGGCTGCTCAGCGCGCTTAATCCAGCAGCTGGACCGAGACGGGGCGGAAAAAAAAAAAAAAAAGAACTGTTTGGTAGCATTTCCTTAGAGTAAAAATTAGTTAACAAGTTGTGCAATGACAGCACAGATATTTAAATCATTCCACTATCATCATCACATGACCGCTTAGGATAATGATACTTATTAGGTATGCAGCTTTAGACAAAACAGTCTTTCCAAGTACAAATTTTCCTTTCTGTTAAGCAAAAAAAAAAAGAAAGTGGGGGTGGGTGGTAACAATACCTATTCTATCTATTGACGTTTAGTGAAGCTCAAATGACAATATACAAAAAGATCATTACACAAATATAATGTATTATTAGACAGATTTAAGCAAATTAATTCTCCCCATTAGTGCTATTTTATGTGCATACACTTGACTAGACCATATACATAAGTCCAAACAACAGAGCTTACTGTCAAGATATAATAATAAAATATGTGAATCATTAAAAATTTCAGTCACAGAAATACTTGCAGAAACCTTCCACCTATTCAACTCATCTATAGAAAAGCTCACCCTTATATGAAAATTCAATTTTTAAACAATTTCCAGGCAGTTTCAGCCTGTTCTTTTTGTGGTAGAAGCAGGTTTTAACCAGGAAGATGCCTGGTGACCTGCCTGAAGCACCAGACACATCACAGGGCTCTGCAACACGCTCTGCGGCAGAGCCCAAAGCAGGCACAAACCTGCATTTCAGCACAGAGTTGGCTGATCTATTACCAAAGCCTGCAGCTGAAAATACAGGCAAGCACAAAGAAAATTCTTTAACAGCAAACAGCTCAGATTATTGCTATGATTAGGACCAATGACAGCCTGAACCTAAAAAAAAAAAAAAAAAAAAATGAAAATAGAGAAATGAGTGCACCAATGTTAGCAAGGCATGATAAACACACAGTTAAAAGCATCTTTAGCGGTGGCTCACGCCTGTAATCCCAACACTTTGGGAGGCTGAGGCGGGTGGATCATTTGAGGTCAGGAGTTTAAGATGAAGCCTGGTAAACATGGTGAAACCCCATCTCTACTAAAATACAAAAAAATTACCCCGGCAGTAGTGGCGCTCGCCTGTAATCCCTGCTACTGGGGAGGCTGAGGCAGGAGAACTGCTTGAGCCTGGGAGGCGGAGGTTGCAGTAAGCTGAGCTCGGACAACAGTGTGAGACTCCATCTCAAAAAAACAAACAAATAAGCAAACAAAAGAAAAGCATCTAAAACAAAAAAAGCAAAGTACTTAAGTTAGAGCAGAGTAACTGTAGAGAAAATGCAAAACAAACAAAACTTAGCTCTAAATATGCTACAGACATCACAAATAACACCATACTACACAGATATTGGGACTATTGGATTATTTTAACTTCACTTGAATTCCTAATGTCTATCTACTCCAGCCAACCGTCCCCTGTACTTTAAGCAAGAAAGATGACCAATATGCTGACACTGCAGGCCCAAGTTTTTCAACTGTATTTTTTCCAGAGTCATCCATTGCTAAAATAGATGAAATACGAGAAGTGTAGTATAAATCTATAAGAAACAAATTCAAACCAAGTCAGATGCCAACCAAAATAATCCTTCATTGGAAAGCAAACCACGCACTTGTCCTTAAAATGTTTAAGCCTTGGCATTCACAATTTGAAGAAGTTTCACACCTTTCTGAAGGAGACAGAGGTGAGCTAATCAGTGTAGGTCCTAGAAATAGTTCCTCAGAATATTTCTAGACATTCTAGAGATGTCTAGAAACACCCAGAGATGTAAACAACAATCAGCTGGAAAGAGATATACCCAGAATAAGGAGCTTCCAGGATTTCCCTCTCCGTGTGAAAGCAATCAACTCCTATTTTTAATCTCCCTCTGACGCAAGCATCCAGGCAAACCTCTTTCTGACTAATCAAAGCTAGCTGATTTGTTACTTTCAAATAGCAGTTTTAAAAGTCAGATTTTAATGCAAGTCAACACAGATTTAATGTCAACGCTTTAGGAGAAGAATGAGTTATCTTGAGAGACAGAAATGATGGTAAGTCCCTCAATTTTCGAAGGGGGGGGGGGGAACTTAAAGAAATTTACATTTAAACAAACTAAGCCTCAGCCATTCAAGTCTATGGCAAATGGATTCACCTGGTGAATATTTCAAACAGGTATAACTGGGCAGACAAACCCAAAGGATTCCTATCTTCTTAAACACTTTACAGAAACAAATTAATCTAATACCAGTGATTCCCGGGGCTGGCCAAAGAATAACTTGAAAATTGAATTGATTAATTGAAAAATAACATGTTGATAGTTAAGTACAGGTAAAAACAGCACTTCCCTATACATTAGGTTATTAAAAGGGTTATTAAAAATAATTATTTCCTTCAATGCCCAACAGGATTTATAACATTCAACTCTACTTTTGGTTTTTCATTGTAAAGGATTCTTGGAGGGGAGGGAACCATAATGCCTTAATAAGTAAACAATAAGTAATGTTTAATAAGATCCTGGGAGTTGATCACATTCTTCTTTTCCAATCAAGAGTTTTTGATCCACTTGAAAAATGCTAGCGAAGAGGGCCTTCCACAAGGAACTCAAGAATATGCAACTCTGGAGACACAACCAAAGTACTGGTATCAAGCTTGGAGAAAATGCTGCTTTTGTCTCAGGGGCAGCTAGTGATAAAAACAGGAACTTTACAGAGAACTGATCACAACTGCCCAACAAGCCTGATCACATGCCCACAACGGAGCACTGTGTTTCGCTCATTGTTGTACAAGGAGTTCTCTAATAACAGTGGCTTGATTTATTCCATTTTTTTAAATTCTGAAAAATCGAACCCTCCCTGTCCCAATCCATTGTCAAAAGAAAGAATGCCGGCCAGGATCTGCAAGTAACCGGTAGCCTCCTCTCTCTCCCTCTTCAAAGACTCCAAAAGGTGACCACATGCAGAAAATTCAGCCCAAATAACAGGCACCAGGAAAAAAAAACCTCTTATGACAAAGGTGGTCTAAAAGCAGCACCGAGTGGCTCTCTGGGTTAATGCCACTGCTTCTCATCTCCCTAGGACCCTCAATGGCTCACCCGCTTCTGTCTCACTCCTGTCACTGAGGAGGCATCGCGCATTGTTAAAGGAAAGAGAAGAAACACTGCTGCGGATTTCCCATGTGTCTTTCTCTTTTTGAAAGGGGGAAAGGGGCTGGAACAAGGCGTGGAGCCCTCCACGAAAAGCGGAGAGGAAAGGAGAAAGCTGTCAGCCACCCTCCTCGCAGCCCTCCCCCTCACCCCACCTGGCCCAGACGCCTGGGCAGAAGCGGGAGGGCGCAGCTTTGTCTCGGGTTTTGGGGGGCAGGAAGCGCAGAAGCAGTGTGGGCCCGGGAAGACCTCTCCCACAAGCCCTTACTTAGTCCCCTTCATGGGAAAACAATGAAAGCCACAGGAAACCACTTAGTGGGGTGGGAGAGGAGGGAAGATGGTCGTGGAGTGCCAGGCCAGGTTCTCTGCACCCTCGTCCCCCTCGCCGCACGGCCGCCAGGGCGCGCGGCGGGGACCTGTCTCCCGAGTCGCAGCGATCCGCAGGGCCCCGGGCGCCCTCTCCCCCGCCCGGCTCCTACCCTCCGAGAGCTCCAGCTCCAGCTCCGCCAGCTGCGCCCGCACTTCAGGCGGCAGCGCCGCCACCGCGGCCGGCGACGGCTCCAGGCCTCGTTCCGCCATCCCGGCTCCGCCAGCCACACTCCGGAAGACAAGAGAGAGGGCCGAAGGAGGGAAGGACCGACGCGGGCCCACACCCGGCTACAGGATCCGGCTCCGGCCGCCGAGCGCCACCAGCACCGCCGCCGCCACCGCCGCCGCCATCAGCAAAGGTCACGTGAGCGCGACGGCCCCGCCCCCGGGCCAGGAGGACGCACCGCCTCCACAGCCCAGTCAGACTGAGGACGCACATGCTTATGGCGCCCTCTACTGGGGAGTTACCAGAACGACCGGCCCAAGCCCACCACCCGAATTTCCCTGCTGCGAAATGGGCTCATGGTATGGACCGTCGGCTTTACCACAGTAGTGTGGACACATAGCATTTACCTTTACTCTCGAGCAAGTTTTTAGGGGCCCCAGGCCTTACTTTTTCCAATGTATGTCTGTCGTGTCCTTTACTCCATTTCCCCTGATTAATACCTGCCCATTTATAAAAACCTAATCACAGGCCACCTCCTTCACTGTGGCTCCTGGTCCTATCTGCCAGGAGCCCTCTGTTTCTGTTTCAGTTTTAAAAAGACAATGGCAGGCCGGGAGCGGCGGTTCATGCCTGTAATCCTAGCACTTTGGGAGGCCGAGGCAGGTGGATCACCTGAGGTTAAGAATGCTAGGCCAGCCTGGCCAACATGGTGAAACCCTGTCTCTACTAAAAATACAAAAATTAGCCGGGCGTGGTGGCGGACGCCTGTAATCCCAGCTACTCAGGAGGCTGAGGCAGAAGAATCCCTTGAACCCGGGAGGCGGAGGTTGCAGTGAGCAGAGATCGCGCCATTGTACTCCAGCCTGGGCAACAAGAGCGAAACTCCGTCTCAAAAAAAAAAACGAAAAAGGAAAAAAAAAAAAAGACAATGGAGAGGAGCTCCACTTCTTTCTTTCTAATAATTCCTAACGACTTACAATGAGGAACTTACTTTATCTCATCCTCCTCAAGTATATGGACAATAGATGTTCCAAAAACATTAATTTTTTTAATTTATAATGAAGAAGGGCCAAGGCTGGTTGCAGTGGCTCACCACCTACGATCCAAGCACTTTGGAGCCAAGGTGGACGGATCAACGTGAGGTCAAGAGTTCAAGACCAGCCTTGGCCAACATGTGCAGAACTCCCGTCTATAACGTCATAAAACAGCAAAAATTACCGTGGACGTGAGTGGCCATGCTGTAATCCGGCTACTTGGGGAGCTGAAGGTGGAAAAGCTTTGAACCCTGGGGAGGCGAGAAGGTTGCAGTGGAGCTGAGATCAGGGCCAACTGATACTGCCAGCGTGGGGCAACACAGTGAAAAACTGTCTCAAAAAAAAAAAAAAATAAAAAAAGAAAACAAAGTGACGGTAGGAGCGGTGGTGGC